GATAAAAGAGCTCGGAGAAACATCATGGCGATATATGAAGATTGGAGAATATTTAGAAGAATATTAAAGCGTGACTTAGCTTTAGACAGAAAGTCTGGTCGGCGTCATATGGCGTTATCTGGTCGGCGTGTACGAAATTGCTCGGCGCTCGAGCTTTCCAAACTGTCGTCATGGCGGCAGTCGCGATCGTCACAGCGCCGTTCTTCGTGGTGATCATCATTGCGACGCGACAGGTGGTCGGAGTAAGTAATCCGAGCATCGTTGTCCTTATATTAGTGGTCGGCGACATGGGCAGCTCGCTTAGTGGCTCTGACGGCTCGGACGGTTTGTTTGATAGCTCGGACGGGGTATGCAGAGTTATAGGCGAAAGAGTGTAGTGGGACTCGGCAGAACGGAATCGGAGTCAACTTGGCTCGATTGACAAAGTTGTATCTAGCTTGGATGACTCGCTTGTAGCTTGATGGAGTTGTATCGAGCTCCAACGGCGGGTGCGTGCCTGGGGTTGATCCTGTATTTTCATGTATGATGATTGGACGCTGGACGCCAGGAGCTGAGCGCCGCTAGATGCCACCACGAGTAGCGAGCACTGCCACGGGTCGACCAGACACGCAGTCAAATCCTATCATCAATAGTCATGAAGACAAATACACGTATATGGAGACATACACAATAAAATTGCTAGATCAAACAAATAACTTGACTTAGCTTTTTGATGTGGAACCGGATTGGTTGAACTCGCGCTGGAGCAGGGCCACGAGAAAGTAGATGAGCCGATCTTTACATGCATATGCACGCCTTGTGCATACATGCAAGATCCATATTTGCTTGCAAGATGCGCAGATACATGCTACCTCGTGCTGTCCGGCGATGACTCTGAAGCCAGACCTATAGACATTAAGGCTGTCTGTCCAACTAGGGTGTGCACATCACCTGTACCGTGGAGGGTCCCCATGCGACATCTAGATGCGACGCTTGGCTCTCCGATCGGGCCTTCAGGGCATCATGAGGCTCGACGTGTAGTCGCGATGATCCAGCAAGCAATGAGGGCCACCGCTGCCGAGGCCCAGTGACACGTCGATCAAAATCCTCATGCCGTAACACGTTGCCGATGGACGCTCGCTGTGCCGCGGATGATGTTGATGAAGAAAATTTTCATCTGGTTCGCCATGGAATCAGCACGCACAACCCCTACCTAGCGCGTCACCTATCAATAAAAGATGCTTGGTAGTCCTCCGAGGGTATCCCACGAAGGTAGATTAATCGGTGGAGATGCGTGTGATAGGAACCGGATGGTGACTCAAGGCACAGAGATAGCGATTTAGATAGGTTCGAGCCATCTGATCGACGTAATATCCTATGTCACGTGTCTTTATTGTATTGTATTGAATATGGGATGTATATAGATCAATGTCCACTAAGGGGACCCCTACCTCTCCTTATATACTCTGGAGGGGTAGGGTTACAAGAAAAGTATCATATTTGGTACTATACAATATCTTGCGGTGTACGTCGACCAGTGCATGCATGCCTTGATCTTGTGGGCTGGGCCACCTCTGATGGTGCGGCCCATGCGGTCTGCCGTGGGTATCCGGGGTCATACCCCCACATGATCAGAATCAACGCTTGAGCCTACCTTCGCACACCTCCGTTACTCTTTAAGAGGCATCCGCCCCAGATAAACTACCCACCTCGCAGTGTCCCCTCCCCCCCGAATCATCAGTGCAGCGGTTAGGCATCCTTAGACGAAAGAGTGGCCTTTCAGGATTGGTCGTTGTGTGTCACCACCTCCCACCTATTCTACACATTCGATCAAGGTTGTCATTGCGAAGCTATAGTCAAGGTGCACGGGGTCTTACCGTCTACCGTTGGTACTCTATATCTTCATGGAGAATTCAATTTCATCATGTCCATGTCGAAGATAGCGTGGCAGTCGTTACACCATTCGTGCATGTCGCTACTTATGCGACAAGGAATTTCGCTACCTTAGGACAATTAGAGTTACTGCCGCCGATTACCGAGGCTTCCATTCAAAGCTTATCACACTTCTCCTTCCGACCTTCCAGCACCGGGTAGGTGTCAGACTCTATACATCGTGTTAACGATAATGATAGGAAGCGGGCGTCCGTCCCGTTCGGACACCGCGCACTTGGGCCTATAGAAAAGCCCAATAGAGCGATCATGCCAAAGAAAAAGAAGGCTTGCATCGAGTCACTTCCTCTGATCCTCGGCATTCCCACACCACACTCTCAAATCTCCCCCTCCTCCATGCACCTCTCGTGTCGCCAATGGCCTGAGGACGCGGCCTCGTCTCCGTCTCTAGTGACGCCGTCGGTCCCCGCCACCGCGCCCCTCGCAGTGTTGCTTCGCCCATGGCGGGAGGCGTTCGAGCACGGGCTCCTTCCCATCCCCAAGCTCATCTTCCCGGAGGGCACGCTGGTGTAGACCCTCGCTCAGCTCAAGGAGAAGCTCACTGCCTTGGCCTCCAAAGGGCGCGTGCCCGCCGTGGCCCTGGCGAGGCGCTGCATATCCTGCAGGAGCATGCATTAGTGCCCGGGCTCAAGCAAGCTGCTGACCCAACCCTACCCTAACCGGCAGTGCCTCCCCAGATCTATCAACGTCTCCTCTCCCTTGGCTGACGGCGGGCATGGTGGGGGCGTGCGGGGTGCGCACCATCCAGCGAGCCTGCGCCACCACAGTTGCCCACCAGGTAGGTCATGGTCGTGCGGCGATGATGTGTTTTCAAGTGTTTTTGGATGCTTTTGAGACATGTTGCAAGCCTATGTTTCAAATGTATGTTTCAATTGTTTTCATACAGATGTTACAAAGTAGATCGGAATGTTGCACATGTTGCAATGGTTGTATACGTATGGTGCAAAGCATCTATCCCCAAATGTTTCATCTTTTTGTATACGTATGTTGTCTTTTGTATGTTGCAAGTGTTGCATCTTGATGTTTCAAAAGTAGATCGGGATGTTGCACGTATTGCAATGGTGTTTCAACTGTATGTTTCCAAGTATTTCATCTGTTTTAGACGTATGTTGCAAAGGTTTCTTCTAGATATTGCAAAAGTAGATCGGGGTATTACACGGCGCGACCGGTGGCTGTCGCTACTGCTGGGGCACAGCCGTGTCAACCCACATGGGTTTCCCTGTGTGGGGCGCAGGGGCGCGGGTCCCTGTGATGGACGCAGGCGAGGGTGCTTGGGCGGACGCGGGGCGTGGGGTGGGATGCCAACGCGGGGACCGACACAGGTGTCGGCCGCGTCCAGACGCAACGTCCCATCAATCTGGGCGCTAGGCGTTCCAAAAAATAAATACAACCTATTTTAACTTGTTACACTATAAATTGATTAATAACTGAAAAAAGAGAAGTAATGAAGTACCGTTTAGACTTTGGAGGTCATTCTTCGTACATTTCTTCCAGCCAAACCCACTATAATTCGGTCTCGGCATTCCGTCCCCTAATAATAAGGAAATTCTACTTCCTATTGCTAAGGTTCTCTTTGGAAATGCGAGATTTTTCACCTGCATTTTTATTGTAAAAATAAATTGATTTTTAAGATCAGTCTTTGTTTGAATTTGGACGGTAATGGAATCAGCTGAGTGCACTGAGTTATGGTTGCACACACCAAACGCACGTGACTCGGCAATGAATTTGAAAGGAGTGACAAACACACGACGACGAAGTCTGCTCCCCCACTCCGACGAGTAGCATGCGCATGTCCACCACCTCCCTCCCGCAGCAGCATCAGCCCTTGGCCTTTACCATTCCCGAACCGCCTCCTTCTTGGTAGCCTCCTCCTACATGGCGATCTACAGCTTCTACATCTGCTTGATGCACATCTCTAGGAAGGTGACGATGTACTTCTCGTCTCTCGAAGACGTCACGTTGGTCATCGTCGTCCTGCAGCACTAAAAACCTTATGTTTGGTTTTGGCTAATTGAGACAACCAAGTGGACTAACCTTCTACTTTAGTGTTGTGATTTAGAAAGGTTGGTTCATATCCAAGATGGTGGCAGTTGAGACGGCAACGGTGACGTTGCCTGTAAGATGGTGGGAGAGGCCGGTTGAGTGGTGCAAGCAACTAGCTAGGGGAAGGAGACTAGGATTGACAATGGAGGTGACATGGCCACCACCAGAGCTAGATGGGGATGCACGCGCGCGCGCGGGGGGTGGGGGTGTTTGAACAAGGAGTGGCCATGGATGCTGAAGGCTCATCGCATGGCTGCGCGTGCGTTAGCTTGATCCTTATTTTATATTATTTATTTTTTCTATAAATTTTTAAAGTTATTAGTATAAACTAAAATGATTTACAATGAAAACGAGATAGTATATGTTGTGTTTGGCATTGATAAACAATTTCCAGATTGTCGGTTGAATCATATTGAAGATGGAATTTTTTATGGGGTACATTTCCTTAGTCAACAAAATTAATAGTTGATATAATTTACAGATGGTACTTCAAATTAACGAGGTTATTTCTAAACTTAATAACGTACAAGGTCATAAATCATGAACCTGTGATCATTATCTAGGGTTGTTTTTATGGTGGACTGGTTCTATTGGTTCACTATGAGGCAAATTAGTTTCCCAATCTTCCTATTGGTTCACTATCCTGTGCGTGCTCATGGCAACCAATTGATGGACAGTGTCAAGGCCACTTTCTCTAATATCGTTGTAAATCATGAGCTCCTACAAACGTATACCCGTCTGTACTTCCGAACTAGAGAAAGCGATGACTTCGATACACGGCTACACGTGCCTACCGAGCTGCCATGAACTTCAGTGTCCAGTATGCCATGTGCTGATTCTCTACACAATCAGAAATTCAGAATAAGACCAGTGATACACGTTCACACCGCACATGATCGATCGACAGATAATCCCATATTTCATTTCAGCTCATCCGCGGCTACCTTTGCATCTCAGTGCGGCACGGCATCATCACGGACAACTGGTTTTCCCCGGGCGGCGACGGTGAGAGCAAGGGCTATAGCTAGTCAAGGTTCATGCTTTGGCATATGATGAGACTGCGTGTCCTTGCCGTGACGGTGGTGGAGACGGGCGCCCCCGGCGCCGTGCTTGCTGTGATGGTGGTGACCGTCGTGGTGGTGATGGTCGTCGTGGTCGTCCAGGTGGCAGCCGTGGCGGTCGGGCTGGACCCACCGGCCGTCGCGGCCGCGGACCATGCCTTTGTTGTGGTCCTGGCGCCAGCAGGGGGGCACGCCGTGGTGGTCCTTGAGGAAGTCGCACGCCTTGTTCACCAGCGCCGGGTCGCGCCCGCTCGCCAGCACGAACCGCTCACCGCGCCCGTGGTACCTGCGCTCACGTCGAAAAGCACACAAAATGTACTACTACACAAGATGCGGCTCAAATTTTACTACGGGAGAATCACCGTGGATGACGATGGATCAGTACTAGTAGTACTAGGCTGTATGAACAGGCACATGCTTCGATAATCATCCTGTTCGTACGACTTATTAGTAATGATACGATATTTTTTTCTCGCTTAGTACCAGTCAAGCTTAATTGCTGCAGCCTTTCCGGTCTGCCATGCCGGTTTGGTGGACTGGTACGTCGGTACGGGGTTGTTGCAGGGAGTGCGTGTGCTGCTGTCTGCCGCAAGCCAGGAATAAACGCAGCGCATAAATGTGCCGGGTCAGACTCCGGAACCTTTACTCCCACGGTAAAAAAAAATGCACTTGTTTTCCGAGAATTTAATTTTTTTAGTTTAGTCAAATATATAAAAAATAAATATTGATGATATCTAATAACTATTATTGTTTGGTTAATAGTATACTATATTTTCATCATAATATACACATTTTAATAATAATTTTAGTAAATTTAGTTAATTAAAATATGTTACGTCTTAGATAATGAGATGTAGTACAATTTTTTAGGAGGAGTACATGTACCTCCCGTCAACCTGGCCGCTCGTCTGTCTATACCGGATCCACGAGATCCGAGCAGACGCGTGTTTTTTATGGTACGGGTACCAAGCCGGGCTGATACGAGAGTGCACGAAGTATTTGAATACGAACAACGAGGCGTTGTTTAGTCTCAAGATTACGCATGGTCCCGTCCAATTCCAATTCATAATTTCACTCATATTCGTCCTCACAGCCTGGAATCTCTCTAAACAATTATGTCCAGCTTGGTCGCCTTGTGTGCTAGTTGAACAAGCTAGCATCTTGCACTGATCGGTTTGGAGGTGGAGTACGGACCGGATCAGATCCTTGGCTCATCCTTTCTGACCCGTTTGTTTCGCTAAAAAATAAATCGAAACACTGTTCCAGCTGATTTGGTGTGAGAGAGAAAATACTGTTTCGACTAAAAAAATAAACTGATAAGTACGGATTATAAGACAAACGAACAGGACCTCTGTGCAAAATCTGATGACTAGGCTGCCATATCTGTTACTCTGTTAGTTGCGACCGTGTAGGCTCCCCTACCCCATGATTCGATTCGATGATCGTCGCTACTATAATCTATACACGGCACGCGAGTAGGCTGGAACATCACATGCACACATTTAATTTGTCTCCAACCAAACCTAATCAGTTTTTTTTATTTGAAAAAAAAAATCCACAGCACAAAGGCGCACGTTTCTATCAAAAAAAAACACTCGAGTCAATTCTCATAGAAAAATGGAGGTCAGGGTCAGGCCAATTGCTTGGTGCCCTGTCCTTGCCACATTGCCTGACTGATGACGTAGTTAACAGTGACTAGTAGCATCTATCTCCGTCTAATCACACGACTTTAATAACAGGCTTGTTCACTTGAACGGCTCGACTTATAAGATAGAATTTACAATATTTTTCTCTTATAACAAAAACAACTTTAACCGGTTTTAATACCTATTGAACAAGTTAAACGTCCTCTGCCCTCTGGGCGAGGCCTAATGATAGCCTGTCTCAAAATCACACCCCCAACCTAGACCTGATTTAGTTCTAAAAATTTTCACCCTAAACTATCAAATTAAATCTTACGACACATGGAGTATTAAATATAGATGAAAAAAAAATTAATTGCGCAGTTTGGTTGGAAATTGAGAGACAAATGTTTTAAGACTAATTAGTCCATGATTAACCATAAATGCTACCGTAACTAACATGCGCTAATGATGGATTAATTAGGTTTAATAAATTCGTCTCGCGGTTTCCAAACGAGCTATATAATTAGTTTTTTTATTAGTATCCGAAAACCCCTTCCGACATTAAAACATCCAACGTGACATTAAAAAATTTTATTTCGCGAACTAAACAAAGCCCTACTAAAATCCTTGGGTCAAATGTAATGCAACCAAGCGACGTTGTCTGTCAGGAGTAGGTAGCTACGTACTAGCTAGGGAGAGGTGCAGGTGCAAGGTACTTACCCGTCGATGAGATGGAGGTGCGCCTCCAGGTCGTGGTAGCACGCTGGATCCAGCGTGTCCTTGAGGAACGGCGAGCGCTTGTGGTCGAGCGGCAGCTCCACGCCGACGTGGGCGTAGCACCAGGGCAGCCGCAGCAGTCCTTCCGCCACGCGCCGCACCACCTCGGGCGCGCCCTCGTTCAGCAGGATCCCCGGCATCCGCGTCACGTTGTCGTGCACGTTCACCACCCGCAGCGCCTTCACCCCGAGCTCCGACTCGAACCGCCGCTTGAACGTCGCGTTGCCCACCCGCGGGCCCCCGAACGAGTACACGCACACGGGCGCCACCGCCGTCTTCTCCTCGCCGCCGCCGGCCACTCCCACGTTCGCGCCGGTCTCCGCGATGTCGTAGGCGCTGAGCGTGGCGAGCGCGCTGCCGAGGCTGTGCCCGGTGACCGTGATGCTCACGTCCTCGCCCGCCGCGGTGTATCGCCCCACTAGCCGGCGGACCTCCGTCAGCACCTGCTCGCGCGCCGAGTACTTGCAGAACCGGCAGCCCGGGTCCCTGTCCGTGTACAGGTCCACGAAGCCCGCCAGCACCTTCACCTCCGGGTCGTCGCACGGGATGCCTTCCTCCGCCACGGGGCGGAGGAAGTCCATGAGGTCCGACACCCACTCCAGGCGCGTCACCGTGCCGCGCCACGCGATGGCGATGTCGCGCCGCCCCAGCACCGCGCTCTCCTCGTCGGTAGACACGGCCACGTACCCGATCCAGTTGGCGCTCTGGCTCCAGATCCGGGCGCCCGCGCGGGACTGCGGGAAGAAGTTGGGGAACCGGATGTTGGACGTCGCGAACAGGTACCGGGACACCACGTACCCGCGCGCCGCGTCGGCCATGCCCAGCCGCGAGAACAGCTCGCGGCGCGGGTATTTGCAGCTGCCGCAGTACCGGGAGGACGGGTCGTAGTCGAAGGCGTCGTAGCAGGCCTGCGCCAGCTCGCCGTACCGGATCAGCTCCGACCGCAGCAGCGGGTCCATGGGGTCCAGGAGACCCGCCCAGTCGTTGCACCCGTGGATCTCGCGCCACCGCGTGCGCAGCTGGTGGTCGTCGTGGTGCTTCCCCGCGCCGCGGCGCCGAGCGTCATCATTGTCTTCCTCCTCCTCCTCCTCCTCTTCTTCTTCTTCTTCTTCTTCTTCTTCCCAGAACGTCGTCGCGGTGGTACGGGGCGTTCGCAACGTCGTGTTCGAGCCGACCGACGAGGGAGGCGACTCCCGCGTCGTCCTTCGTGGCCGCCAAGGGGAGCCGCAGAGTGTTTGCGGTGGTGAGTGATCGGCGAGGGGCGGCTGGGCCGCATAGGAAGGAGGTGTGTGTGTGGGTGGTGGCACGGCGGGGGAGAGTTGGGAGCCGAGCGGCTGGAAGGTCGCGGCAGGAGAGGGGCGCCATTGGAAGGCGGGCGAGGTCGTCGTCGTCTGCTGGATGCTGAACCTAACTAAACACGCGAGGAGAGGAACTGAGGAAGACCCGGTTTTGTGCTGGTGCCCAGCAGCGACCAGCGAAGCAGGAACTGGACGTCAACGCAGCGGGGTAGCTCAGTGATGCATACTGCTCCCTCCGTGAATGCAATTCTCGCTTTCAAATCAAATAGTTTCAACTTTGATTAAATTTATATAAAAAAATACTAACATTTATGGTATAAAATAAGTATCATTTAATTTGTTATATAATATATTTTTATAATAAATTTGACGGGTATACTATTTATTATAAACTTGATCAAATTTAAACTATTTTGATCGATATGAATTACATAGTTGTGTTTTTTTTCTGGACGCAGGGAGTACTACTGCTATACTATACTAGTGCTTGGTTGCCGTCCAGATATCGGTAGAGTAATCGCAATCGCACTCGAAGCTTTCATGTTGTCAATTGTCATATGCGATTTTTTTATTTTTAACACATTTTTTAAATTATTTTAAAAACTGATACTGTTTATTTTTTTCAAAACTAAGACGGGTCTGTTTACACGGCGCGGCTAATTCACTCTGTCGTGCCATGCATGGAGGCGCGGCAGGGGGCAGTCAACGGCTGCGGCGACCGTTGACGTGCCAGGTCTGATGCGCCACCCGTCACGGCGCGGCGGGCCTGCCGTGCCACGCATCACGGCACGGCAGCCCCTCGTACCCGGCCTCGCTTCCCTTTCTCTCTGTCTATCTCACTCGGCCCGTTTGAAGAGAGGAGCCGTGCCCTGAGCCGCCCTGCGCCCGCCGCTGAGCCACGCACGCCCGCCGCGCCGCCACCATGCCACGCCCGCCCGGCGAGCCCGTGGCCGCCATGCCCGCCGCGCCGCTAGAAGAAGCCCACCAGCGGCACGACTCCCGCCCGCCACGCCGCGACCGTGCCCGCCCGGCGAGCCCGCGGCCGCCTCGCCCGACGCACCCCGCCTCTCGCTCCCACCCACTGCGCCCCCCGTCGCGCCCGTCGCCATGTGCTAGTCCTCCCTGACTCCATCTCCATCTCCCCTATCTCGTTGCCTCCCTTACTGCCGCCGCCACCCCTCCATCTCCCCATTGCCGCGCGCTGCCCGTCCTCGTCGCCGCCTCTCCATCTCTCTGCACTATCTCGAGCCGTGAAGGACATTGCTGCGCTGCCCATCGTCGTCCTCCAGAGGGGGGGATTGCCGCCGGTCGGCCGGCCATTGCCGCCGCCCTCTAGAAATAGGGCGCTGCCGACCGACCATTGCCGCCAGCGACCATCTCCTTTCCATTGGTGGATTGTGGTGACCCATAATCTTTGTCGAGGTAATGCTCTTCTGCATCTCTGTCAATTTTTTTACTAGGGTTAGGATTCAAATTTAGTTTAACTGGATAGAGATTTATACAATTAGTTAGCGAAGATATTTAGTGAAGTTAGTAAGTATAAGTTATGTATAGTTTTGCAGATAGTTTTGCAGTTAACTAGATCTGTATAGTTAGCAAAGTTACTTAGTATAGTAAGTATATGTATTAATATTAGTGTGTTTAGTGTAGTTAGTTAGTATAGTTAGTTAGAATTGTTGGTATAGGTATTAATATTAGATTAGTTAGTATAGGTGTAGTCAGTTAGTTAGTACGCACAACGATTTCGATGACCTGATGAAGTTTCTGAAACACTTTTGTAGACGGATTGTTGTGTTAGAGTTTTCTACGGAGGAAGTGTTAGGAGAGAAGATGGTATGTTTGAGGATATGAAAGAAGAATTAGAATGGTTTGATGAATCTCCTAGCTTCAACGACCTTTGTGTCCATTTGAATGCAAAGTTTGACGGTAATTTCACACTAAAGGGGAGGTTTGATACTTGGAAGACTATGGCACACTATGTCCTGGTGCCCTTGCGTGACCCTGTTCACTGGTCCCGCTACAATAGGGTGCTCCAAGGTTCCAATGTGCCCATGGTTGAGGTGGCAGTGAAGAATGGGTACAGGACGCAGGGTGCCCTGGACGGGCCGTCCATTGACGGTGTTGTAGGCAATGAGCAAGAATTGGGGGTTGAAGGGGAAGCAACTCAGGGTAACATGGATTTGGACAGTCAGTTGATGCAGGAGCAGTTTCATTCAAGTCAAGTAGGCTATATTAGCAATGACTTTGATGTGAACGAGTTTGAACTGAAAGAGGAGGAGCAGGAGGAGGACAGGATCGGTGATGTAGTTAGTAGTGATTCAGACGATTCAGATGATGACCAGGGAGGTAGACATGCTATGCCCACACCGGTGATGCCATGCCAGTACCTATTCATGGTATGCCATTACCAGTACCAACTGAGGTTTTGCATGCTATCCAGGCTCAGGGTAGACTAGTCACAGATTTGCCAGCAGATGATACCCCCTATGATTCATGGGGCAGAATTAGCGAAGTGCAGCAATATGTTCCACCACCACCTTACACAGCGACTGAGCTTGAGCAACTAAGGTCGGTGAACGTACCTTTCAGGGGCGTTCCAAATTATAGGGATGTCACATGACGGATATGACAGTTTGTGACACTGGTCTCCAGATGTGTAGGAAATCATTGTATGACCATAAGAAAGAAATCCTTAGTAAGGGACTATGTTGTGTATCACCATAGGCCATATATCATCACTCATTTGGACCAGGAGTTGAGGTACCACGTGATATGCAAAAACAGTTATATGTGGAGGTTAAATACACGAAAGAGACAGAGTGATGGCAAGTGGAGGATAAGTAAAGTGGTCGAACCCCATACTTGCCTAACAAATAGGGGAAAGGAAAATCATCAGCCGCTCACTACACGTTACCTTGCCCATCGTATATTGGGGCTCGTTGATGACAATAATGACATTTCGGTGTCTTTATTACAACAGTCCATATCTAGATTCGTTAAGTATGATGTGAACTACGGAAAGGCTTGACGTGCTAAGCAAATTGCCTTGGCAATTTGTTGGGGTAGTTGGGAGGAAGCATATAACTGGGTGCCCCGCATCTTATGTGCAATGCATTACTACAACCCTGGCTTGAAATGGTTTGTGGACACCGAAGGGATGTATTTTCGGGACCCGTTGAGGCATGTCCTCTATCGTGTGTTCTGGTCGTTCATGTAAACGGAACATGCATTCTAGTTTTGTCGGTCAGTCGTACTTGTTGATGGCACTTTCCTAACAGAAAGTACAGAGGCACCTTGATGATGGCTGCTGTTGTTGATCCTGAGGACCAGATAGTACCCATGGATTTTGCTTTGGTAGAGGGAGAGAACAATGAATCGTGGTCATGGTTCATGCGGTTTCTACGTGTACAAGTGCTTGGCCCATCTCGCACTATATGTTTGATCTCGGACCGTCATCTAGGGCTTCTTAATGCTGCAGCTGAGCATATAGATGGGTTCCCACCTCTAGTGCACAGATGGTGCATGAGACACTTTGCCACTAATTTCTGGCGGCGTCAGAGGAAGATGGAGGTATATGATAAGCTAAAGGCTCTATGTTGTGTACGTATAGAGCATCAGTTCAAGGAGACAAAGAGAGAACTAGACAAGATGCTAAATGAAGCGGGAAAGGCCTGGTTAGAGGCGTACATGGAACAGAAGGCTAAGTGGGCGTTAGCATATGACGAGGGGGGTTTCAGGTATGGCATCATGACCACTAACTCCTCATAATCTTTCAACCGTGTATTCACCGAAGTTCAATCGTTGCTTGTGTCTGGAATTGTTGAGTTCTCCTTTCATAAGTGTAACGAATATTTTGTCAAGAGGGGGGAACTTGCGCAGAGGAATATAGTTGAGCAGGGGCGTTTTGGAAAGGTCAGAGTAGAACATTTGAAGAAGGCTGAGGAATTGGCCAAGCAGCACACCGTTGAGCCATATGGACCCCGCCGCCATATCTTTATTGTACGGGGCAAGGGTGGCACAAGCTTGGGCGGCGAACGTTATGGTGGACAAAACTACCAAGTTGATCTTGAAAAAGTAGAGTGCAGTTGCAACGTCCCTCAGATCATGCATGCCCCTTGCTCTCATATGATCATGGCCTGCAGTGTTCGCGGGTATAACTATGAGGATCTGCCATATATGTCACCCTTGTATCTCCGTTCGAACACCGTTAGTATTTGGGAGAGGAGCTTTAAGCCATACCTTGACCCAACACAGTGGCCACCTTATCATGGTTATGACTACGTGCCGCATCTGGATCTAATGAAGGTAGGCAAGGGTAGGAGGAAGAAGAAGCGACTCAAGGGGGACATGGACGCTATGAGAGGGTATGGCGAAGACATGAACGGAGGGGGAGACTTCAACGAGACCCGTGGTAGGAATCTTTGCTCCATTTGCAAAGAACCTAGTCACAAGGCTAGCAGGCATAGAAGACAAGGGCAGCCAGTGCATATAGCATATATTTTATTATATTAATGTTAATTGTTTGCTATGCTATTTAAAACTACTATGTTAGTACATTGGAACCTTGGAGCTATGTTTATTATGATATATGTTTATTCTCTAATTTTGCATAATAGTTTATTCCTTTTACATTTACTTTGTTTTTATGCACTAATGTTTCATCATATTATAGTACTCTTAATGTTTGTTCTAACATATCCATTTGAAACTTGAACCAGGATGGGGGATCATCATCCGTAGTACCCCATTCTTGAGGTGCACTACAACAAGGACCACCGAGCCAAGCTCCTATCGAAGCTTCAGGAGGTCTTGGTACCTCTTAGACTACGCACGTACCAGCCACAGTTCCTTGAGATCGTCCGGGTCTTCAACACTGGGCTACCGATCCTCGACCCTACACTTCTCACTGCTGCTGTCGATAGGTATGATTTGATACACGTTTGCGATAGTACAAAGCATTGATTTGTCTCATTGTTTGAATTAAAAAACTTCTTGTATTGAATTAAAAACCAACAGGTGGAGGCCAGAGAGCCACACCTTTCGTGCTGCGAGATGACTATCACGATGCAGGACATGAAGATGATACTATGTCTGTGGTTGGGGGGTCTTCTAGTGACTGGGATCCTTGATAACGATCTTTGGATGGACTTGGTGGAGAAGTTATGTGGCAGAAGACCACCCGAGGGAGAGGATGCTAAGAGAGCAAAGTAAGAATTTCTATGTTCCAAACATTTACCATTTTGACACCATCACATATTCTGCAAATTATTTTGCTATTTAGATGGAGGGTGTAGTACATAACTTTTATGATGCATATTGTCTTTGTCTAATTTAATGTTTGTTTTTGTTCCCTCAGCTCTCATGTAACATCTGGTGTCAGCTCTAATTTAATATTTGCAAAATATTTTAGGAAAACATCCGGTGTCAGTTCGGTCTAGATAACAGAAAACTTCAGGGCGCTGTTGCACCCAAACGCTCTAGAGTAGGAGATCGAGAGGTATGCTAGGGTGTGGCTATGGCACTTCTTAGGCGCCTTCCTATTCTCCGACGCGTCGAGTAACACCATTAGTTGGGCCTTCCTCAACATATTGAGCCAGCCATGGGAGAATATAGGAGCGTATAGCTAGGGCAGCGCGGTCCTAGCATGGATCTATCGTTAGCTCTACATTGCCTACCGACGCAATACAGGAGGTGCCAACCTAGGAGGTTGTTCCCACCTACTACAGGTTTGGTGTTGGGAGCGATGGCCAGTCGGGAGGCCCATTGTTCACGGTTTACCTGTAAGTGCATCGATTTTTTTATTTTCCTCAAACTTGATGCCGCACTTGTGACTGACTATCCTATTCAATGCAGGCATGGAATCACGTGGACATAGGACCGACTGCTCTGTACGTCTGGCAAGAAGTGGAGGTAGTTAGAGGGAACCCAAAGCAATGGTACAGGCAGTACTCGAACACGCTAGACGTCCTGACACAGCACCAGGTAACGACCACTTTGATACTGCTAGTCGGTGTTGTTGCTTTTTTATTATTCAAAAAACCTAACTGTAGTTACCTAACTTTTAGGTGAATTGGTGTCCTTGGTCAAGATTCGAGTTAGAGGGGTACCTGAGTCCTCGCACTGAGGAAGAGTCGAACGAGTGACTTTTTAATGGGCCACTAATTTTGTTCCACGTGGTCGAGATGCACTACCCTATAAGGGTGTATAGGTAGTTTAGAAGATTGCAGCCATGCCCACTGCCATTGTACACAACCAATAGAAAGTTGCACGGGTGTG